CGCTGTGAACAGGAAGCATAGATGAAGGAAGTGATTACATGGAGAAAGAGATCACTTGCAATGTTCAGACTGAGGAACTTACAAATTGCTTGCTGTTTCCTCTGAACATAAAAACATTCCCTGTTGTGTCTGTTCTGTCTGGCTCTTCATTTGAGATAAGTTACTTAAAATGACCTCCATTTTCAAAGTACAGCCCTGCAGTGCTCAGCTGGCTACTTCAGAAACCTATGGTATGTTTCCACAGCTCCTGTAAGGCAGAATATGTGAAGCATGTTCTCACACTGGCATAGTTTTCAACTGATTCAAATTCTAAATGTCACAATTACCCTTGCCTCTACTTTCAGTTAATGGATGGACATTGATGGCATGAAGTTGAAGTTGGAATTGTGATATTCTTAATATCATTTTGGCTAGTTCTTTATTAATGTATTTGCCAGCTTTCTCACTGCTGGTCACAATACCAGGCACCCACACTTAAAGGAAGAGAGGTTGAATTTGACTCATCATTTTAGGGGGTGTAGTCCAGGGTCAACTGGCTTCAAGGCAGAAACATCATGGCAGAAAGGTTCAGGGAAGCAGAGTTGCTCAGTTCATGGTGGCCAGGAAGTACAGCAGGAGAAAAGTGCCAGAAAGACAAATGACCACACATATACCTCTAAATCATGTCTCCATAACCCATCCAGATATACCCAGAAATATGTTCCACCAACCCCTCTGGGAAGATCCCAAGGCCAATCAAGTTGACATTTTACCTTAACCACCATAACGAGATTTGCTGTGACTTATTGTGCAGTTTATAACAAAACCAAGCATTTCTCTGTTTGTCTCTGTCTCTGATTCTGTTTCTCTCTGTCTCTGTCTCTGTTTTTCTCACACACCCACTCATGCATGTATAAGTGCACACACACACACACACACACACACACACACACACATATACAGGTGTACAATAAATTAACAGTCCACACCATTGGAGAAGATATTATTTTTCCTGCTTATCTGGAGGCTCAGAAAGAGTTCTTGGCCAAATTCTCACAGCCAGGGGCAGACTGTATATTAGAGCACTAGTCACCCAAGTTGCCCTGGATAATTATTAATAGAACTTCATTTCACTCTCCTGAGGGAGTTTGGTCCATACACTCTATAGTCTCCCTAATTAAGCAGCTCCATGGTTGTTGTGTAGCAATACTAGGAAGTGGGAGGATGTGACTTTGGGCCTTTCTTGAATTTTTCATCAACCCACATCTATTTTTCCTCCCGAGGACATACTTTTCTACTGGTGTGCCTGATAGCATCCCTGCTATTCTTCCTTTTACTGTCTCAGCTGGTTATTAACTAGTTTCTAATAAGTACTTGTACAACTATGTTCTGACTGATATCTTTCATCCACCTAGCTGACAAGGGTTTTCAACCTCTTTGCTCTACAAATCTCTGCTCAGACCCAGCCTCCCCTTTCAGAGAATGGTATGAAAACTTCTGGTTATGAAGGTGATATTAAGATCTTCTTGTCCTGGGCTGGGGGTGTAGCACTTTGGTAGAGCACTTGTCTAACATGTGGCCTAGTTTCAGCCCCAGCAAAGTACTGAAGAAGGGGGAAAGGGTTTTATCTGGTCAGTAGGATTTTATGATTTCTCTTCCTCCTCCACTACTACTTTTTGTTCTCTTCCTCCTCCCTCCTCCTTCCCCTCCTCCTCCTCTTCTTTCTTCACATCCTCCTGTCCTCCCCCTCTTCTCCTCCTTCTCCTCCTGCTCCTCCATCTCCTTCTCCTCCTCCATGTTTAGCTTGAATCCTGGACCTTTGCACTGAGCTATATTCCCAGCTTTAGTTTTTTTTTTTTTTAAATTTGAGACAGTATCTTTCTAAGTAACTGAATTGTCCATGCTGGGCTCAAGCTTCTAGTCCTCCTGCCTCAGCCTTCCAGAGTGCTGGGATGACAGGTGTGTGCTACCATACCTGGTTTATATGATTTCTTCTTGGTGTTCCACAGAACTTTATATATGACATTGCCTTTAGGATTTATAAGTATGGTAATTATATAATTTAATCTCTTTTTTTGTTAAGATGCTTCCTGGAGAATTATAATTTACAGTTCAGAAGTGAAAAAAGGACTGGTATTAAGTCATAAAGGAGGAGCAGGGAAGAGTTAAGAACCATTTGCAGGAATAGCAATCTTACATATTATAGGGATGGATCCATTTACTGTTTTGTATAAATGAAGGTCATATTAGCTTTTTTTCTTCTAAAAATTCATCTTTCTGGTTTTACTTCTTTGGCTTTTACAGTAAAGGGCTTTTTTCACTTAACACTGCACTTTGACTTCACAATGAATCCTCTTTAAACAACAAAAATGATAAAACTATATATATATATATATATATATATATATATAAATATTAACTGTAGTAGAAACACAACACAAAATTTACCATCATAACTGTTTGAAGTGTATAGGTCAGCATACTAATTTGATATCTGATTATCTTTCTCTTTCCTAAGGCATTATCAAGATGGGGAGCAAAGGCAGTGCTTTGTTACCATGTTCTCAGCCTAGCCATAAACCTTGAATCAAATAGTCATTGGAGACCGAATAAATTAAGGTGCCCCTGGTTCCCTGTTGGTTTTCTTGGTTTCCTCTGTTCCTATAACTTTTTAATTGTTGCTTCTTTTCCAGGATTTTTGTCCATTTACTTTGTTTCTCTTCTACCACTTTTGAGAGTTCGCTTGTTCCCTACTATATTTTGAGTCTTCTGTCTTACCGCATTTCTTAATATTGATGTTGTTTTGATCTCTTTCTTCCTGGCTTGGATTTCATGTATACCCTGACTTCGCAGAAGTTCCAAATGTTTTAATGCCCAGATTGTACTCAAGATAAGTACTGTTTACCTGTTTGGCTTACCCTGACCTGTAAAACTCTTATCACTTCTGGTCTGTTTGCAAGATTAGATTTTAGAACAAATGGATTTGAGCCCCAAAGTTTGTATTCATTTAGCTCCATGACCAGCAATTTAGTCTTTCTGGGCTCATATCCCACATCTGTGAAAAACAGGTCACATTAATATTCCCCTCTCAGAAATGAGAGTAATAATAAATATAAAATTTTGCAGATTGACTCTGAGCTGCTTCTGCCACATCCTAAATTAGTACAATATCCCTACATCATATCAGCCAATAGGATGTTCTTAAACATAGAGAATCCTCCTCAAAACATAATAAGATTCGCCTGAAGTGAGGAGTAAAACATTAGATTTTGGCAGAGCACCTTGGAAAGATAGCCAAATCTAGACTAGATCATTATTGGAATCAGTTAGAAGTACTGTTTTATAGTTTGCTAAATTTAGGGATGTGAGGCACATCAAATTAAAAGCTGGGTGTCCTATAAATGCCTATTAATGTTTGGAAATCATTTTAAAATAGTGTCTTAGAATTTTAACCAATTTTAGATGGTTTATGTCTGAAAAAATATTTGTTACAATGTATTTATTATGGGTGCAAAAATTACACACTGAGGATTATCTCAATCATTACCATTGGGCAGAAATTGCCTCTAGGAACAGGTGAACAGTACATGCGAGTTTAAGAAAAAAAACAGACACATCTTCCCATGTAGACCTTCTTAACTTGTTTATCTTGCAGTCCTGTATAGCTGGGGTATTAAAGTTTAATAAACTGGCCTAATAAACTGGCCTGAAAGAATTCTGTCATTTTGGATGTGAAAAAAATTCTAAATGTTATTGATTTCATGTACAAAATATTCTAACCATGTTTCTGTTTTGTAAAAATCACACATTTTACAAGCTCATATCATTGATGTCCTCTCTGAAAAGAAAAAACATATTTTAAAACATTATTCTTTTTTCTTTAGGGGGCCATCTCAGAAATTTTGGTCCAGGAAGCTGCTTACAGAAAGTATTGGGTAAATGAGAATGTCTAGGGCTGGGGATTTAGCTCAGTGGCAAAGTGACTGCCTGGCAAGCACAAGGTCGTGAGTTCGGTTCCCAGTACAGGAGAAAAAAAAAGAAAAGAAAAAAAAAAACCAGAATGTCTAACACTACCAAGTGTAATAAAGATGTTATATTTACACTAATTTAAAGCGTTTGGATTTCTATCTAACGTGGCTTATTTTTAAAAGTACTTTCTGACTGTTAGGCTTTAGTTGTAAAAAGATCTAAAGTGCACTATAAGTTAAAGTGCTTTGAAAGGTTTTGAAATTTAGGAATCGACAGCAGTTGTGTTACAAACCTCTTCTGGTATAGATGTGAGCAGTAACTTTTGCTCTCCAGCATTATTTCATAAACACAAACCTTGTCTCAAAATAACAGTGTGTTGCCTCACCTGGCCAAGTGACAGTTGAAGACGTTCAAAGAGCTTGTGATGGTCTTGGGTCAGACCCCATTGAAAGCCTATGCAGTTCTGGAAACCCTCTGCTCTTCTTAAAATGGCCAGAGGGAGTTAAAGAATCACCATGATGTGTTGGTCCTTGTGGCTTCGAGGACATTTTAGTGTTTTTTCTAACCTATGTTTCTGCTCATTCCCACGGTACTCCTGTCCTTCCATCAGTAAACCAGATGTGCACGACTGATAAATAAATAATTTAAGGAGATCTATACTAAAAGATATAATGTTATAGTCAAGACTAGACAAACTTTTTCTACTAATGGCACACGGTAAATATTTCTGGTTCTTTTTTTTTTTTTTCGTTTTTCTTCCATTACTAGGAATTGAACTCACGACCTTGCGCTTGCCAGGCAGGCGCTTTGCTGCTAAGTTAAATCCCCAGCCCCATATTTCTGGTTCTTTTGCACCTCCTCACTTCTGCTGCATTTGGTGAAAGTAGCCACAGATGGTACACAACTAAAGAACCACAACTGTGTTCCAATAAAGCTCTATGAAAACAGGCAACAGGGTTAGATTTGTCCCATGGGCTATAATTGACTCACACCTGTCCTAAGCAATACCTTTGTGATGACTTCAAATTATTTTGGTCTACTTTTCTCCATAGGTACGGAAGATTCGGTTTGACATAGGTGATCACAGAGATGTCAGTTATCACTAAATCTCAAGATAAGAAGCAAGACTTATTGCTGCCACTAAAAGTGCTGCTTTCGGATGAAGTAAGTGATTTTCTTTCTAATCCTCAGGCTTTGTTGAGAGTAAATAAACAGCTGACGTACAAAATTAAACTAAGAAATGTGACCCTCTTCTTGGATGAGCCTCAGAGCCCATCCTCTGACTCCAATTATTGAAGAGTTGACTATATATGGATAGATTGCTTGTGAACTAGACAGAGACTAGAGTCAAGATCCAGGAAAAATGCAGCCAGATGCTAGGATTTGAAGCATTTTGATGCTATGTAGCTGATGAGTCACTCTGTTACTTTCATCTCCTTTTGCTGTGGCTTAAATTTAATCATTTCTCTTTTTGCTTCTACATCTAGAAGAAGGGAAGAAAGCCAACGGACCTAAAACAAATGCATAGAGATCATCTCCCGTGAAGAATGTGTGAAGGGAAATATTTTTAATTAAATGATGAGCATGTAGTCAATTTGAATTTTATTATTTTCAATGCAAGACTGACTCCAGGAAAAATTTCTAACCAGGTATAATTATTTTTGCAACCAACACTTTCCCATCATGTCACCCTACCTCATCATTTCCAGCACTCAGGGTGTTAGTGCTGTGTGTGGGGCCCTTACAGCTTATCCCTGACTTGGGTCAATTTTTCCACTTCTTTCCTCACTTACCACTTATGAACCATTTCAGATAATTTGGGGTAACCTCTAAGAGACAGAATAATTCATTTAAATTAACACTGTACTTATTTGGGAAAGATTGATGTGTGTCTTTACACTCCATATTTATCTCTAACATAATATTCAAGAAGTGGAGAGAGGTCATTTTTAGCAGTATCTCTTGAATGACAATAAATAAGTATACATAGTATCTCTTAAATGATAGCAAATAAGTCAGTCATCTACTCTGAACACTGATTATAAGAAATACAAGTCAGAGCACTATTATGTTCCAAGAGCTACTTGACAGTGGATCATAAAATATTCTAAATTTAAAGGTCATCCTTTCACTTTATCATTCAAGTATGGTGACCTTAGACTCTGCTCCCATGCTAGCTTCAGCTGTTATAACAAACACAAACAAACATGTATTTCTCACAGTTGTGGGGGCTGGAATCTAAAATTAGTTTTGCAGAGTAACCTGATTTTTGGTGGGCTGTCTTCCTGGTTTACAAACCTCTGCCTATTCCCTACATCCCCTCGAGGCAGAGGGAAATGACCTCTCTCATTCTCTTAAGAGCACAAATCTGATTATTTACTACAAAGCTCCAGCTTTTGATACCTTCCATGTCAAGGAACAGAACTTCAACAGATAGGAGAGCCCAAGAAGCTTATATCAAGTTTCTAGCAAGCCTGTATTAAGTTTCAAAATTGCCCAATGCCTGCTCTCCCTGTGGATGTGAGGGGACTGATGGCTTCTGATTGGACAGAACAGTGTTTCTTACTAACCATCACCCTCAGTGGCTGGTCAGAGATTCTGTCTGACCAACTGATTCTCCTTGGTGGGTACCACCCTGTGTTCTTGAATCATACATGAATGACCATTGTCATGGTGTTTTGATTGGCAGTTTTCTAAAGGGTTGAAATAAGGGTAGATAATTACAAATATAATACTATGTGGATATCAATTTAAATTTAATATTAAGCATGACAGTCACAAAAATTTATTTGCTACTTCTGAAAATAGTATTTTAATTTCCTGTCTTCTTTAGGCCACTCCCTCGGTACAAGCCCCTTGTTTCTACCTACCTCGTCTTCACACATATCATTATTTTATCCTCAGGCTCCTCATCCTCTCTTTCTATAATACCTCTTCCCCTTTCTACACAGAACAGTTGTGCTCTTTGTTTTTTTAAACTCTCTTTTAAAGGTGGGGAGGGTCCTCTTTACTCACGCTTGCATGAAAGAGATCAAGGAAATAATCTTTTAAACAGAGGACCTTCTCCTAAATATGAACTGTGCCATCACTATTCCATGAAAAAACATATGCAGTCAGGTCTTGTGTTTTACAGCAACTTTTCCTTTTCCCTGCCATGTTTAACTACTGATTGCCTAGTAATCTTTTGAAATTTATATTTTAATTATAAGTTGATGACATATAGTTATAATGGCTAATGATCTTCAAATTATAAATTAATGTTTGGTTTTTTTCCAGCTCTACTTACTTCTTGAAATCTCTAGCATATCTCATTGTTTTCTACTCTCCTTTTCTTGAAGTTCTTTCATATTTTGGCTTCCCTGACATTGTCCTTGCTTAGTTCTCTCAGTCTATCGAGTACTTCTTTTCTATGTAACTCCATGGCTCTTTTCTCTCACACTATTCTTGGTAGAAAATCCCAAAGTTTGTAGTTTAAAATATGAGCAACAGTGGGATAGTTGTGTAAACACAGGACAGGAGGCAAAGACGGTCTCAGAAGACAACAGCTGAAATTATTGTTTATTCATTACCCCTGACCTCTCCCACAGGAGTTTAATATATACAATTAAGATGATTTTTTAAATATTTGTTTTATTTCCTAATTTTAATAATTATCTCTCTTATCAACATTTCCCACTCTTTACCTCCTCTTTACTTGACAGTTTGCCAGTGGTAGGTATTATACCTTCAGTCATTCAAGTTGGGAATCTTGCCATCATTGTAGACATCCTTGTCCCTAATACATAGACAACGGCTAGGTTCTCTCCATATTTTCATTCCCAGTATCTCTCTCTTTTAGTTTTAGGCCAGTCCTACGCTGCCTTCAAATTTTCTAGTTACTCAAGGCGACAAAAAGTTTTGTAGTCAGGGAATGGAATGGATCCCTGAAACTCAGTGACCGTAGCACAGTTTCACTGTAGAATTTCAGTACCACATATACATTCTATTACTATGGATGCAATTCCATCCATAATGGCTTTTAATGGGAAGTAGGAAAAGTTATCTGAATTTTCCCAAGTACTGGGCAGGACCAGAGTTGTGTCCCAACTGGAGGAAGCTGGGTGTGGTGTGAAATTGGAAAAGAGCGACTCTCAGCTGCCAAGTATGGAATAAGCTGAAAACAAAAATAAATGATTTGGTTATGTACAAGCTAGGGAACCACTGAAATCTGCAGGGGAGACCAAAAGAACCTGATCCTAAGCAAGTAAATTTACACAAGACTAAATATTTTCTCAGGATAGTCTTGGAATTCATGAGTGCATGGAAGGAAAGAGGATCCCCTATGGAATGGCTATCTCTTCCCTGTGTAGGACAAGGGCAGCAAGGTTAAAACTACTGAATATATCTAGATGGAAATGGATGCTTTGTGATCCCAGTACACAAACTTAAAACAATTGATGATGGCAAAGAGAACTTAGGAATTAAAGGGATGCCTTTATACTTACTCTTCCATAGCAGCACCTTCAGCATAATTAGGACATTATTGCATTCTTTAATTAATCAGAATTGTCACAATGAGTTATGATTGAATTTGAAACGAATTATTTGTACTGTGACATTCTTTAAATCACTAACGGATGTATTCAGTTAGAAATGTGATTTTCTTTGCCATATTAAAATTTTCTCTGTCTTAACGAAGTCCATAGTGTTAAAAAAGAAACTTAACTGTAGATTAACAGCTGTGATAAAATGCAAAGTAAGGAAGTTAAAACAATAGGAATGTGAGAATGTACACTCAGCTAATTGAAAAAGTATGATAATAAAAAGTGCATCTTCTGCTCTCCAAAAATTGTATGAATTCAAAGTGTAAAATTAATTAGAAACCCTGTGCCATGAGTTATAAAAACACACAGAGGATCTAAAGGGGCTAATTTGGGTACCCATTCCATGTGGAACAGGGCCTCTGCGGGCTGCTATGGTAATAGGTGGCCTGCTGCTCTAAGTCATGAAGAGGTCCATGTGCATGTTGTTGGTTGTAGGGAACATGAATGCAAGTCATTTTAAAGAAAGAAAATGAGGTCTATTGTAAGAACACACCTGGCTGAAATCAAAATCAGGCATCTCCTAGATATATAGCAGTTTTAGGGTCTCACCATCTCATGATCTTTTCCCTGATATGTTTATTCTATTAGTAGTTAATGAACACTTACTTAGACCATTCACTGTTCCCACCAATGACGATGCACCAAGCAGTAAGACAATCAAGGCCTCATTTTCTTTTGTGTAATTTATTCTGCTAGAAGGAGAAAACAACAAAAAAAGAAATAACCTAACTAAAGGGAAGAGAAGTGCAATGAAGAAAGGAGATTGGCCAGTGGGGAGTAGCATGACTAGGGGTATCTGAATGTAGATTGGATAGTAAGGGAATAAGTACCATCAAAACTGAGTCCTGGACCATGAGGAGCCAATCATGCAAGGGTATTTATTCCAAGTAGAATAGGAAACAGAATAATAAAAGAAAACACACGTTGTCCAAGACAGGAAGAGTGACAACTACAATAAAATTAGGACAAAAGATGATTGCCTCACAGAAGACAAGGAAGAGAGTAGGTAGGGATGTCAGAAATAAACAGATGTTAGAAGTATCAGAGATTTTAGCAGAAGAAAGATGTATCAGTCACTTTCCCATTGCTGAGACAAAATACACCAGCAAGTTAAAAGAAGGAAGGTTGATTTTTGCTCACAGTTTAGTACATGGTTGGCTGGGTCCAAGGCAGAACCATCATGGTGGAAGAGCATGGTGGAAGAAAGCTGTTCAACCCATGGAATAGAGGAAGTAGAAAGAAGAAAGACAGGAAGAACTGGAAAGCAAGACTATACTCTTCTGGGTCACACACTTATTCCCCCACCTCCAACCAGGCCCCATCTCTTGCTTGGCAGCACATTTAGCTATGAACCCACCAATGCATTAATACACCAATGAGTTTAGCAGCCCCATAATCCCATCACTTTCCTCAAGCCCCAGTTCTGAATACATGAGACTTTGGGAGACATTTCCAATCTGTCATAACACAGTATATCTACGTGTCTAAAAAGCAATGGTAAACCAGTGAAGGGGTCTAGAGAGAGAAGTGACACTCTAGTTCTTTTTTTCCTCCTTCTATGGTGCATAGGGCCCCTCTGATGGCAGTTCTGCTGCTCATTGCTCACTTTTCTTGTTTCCGTTCTTTATTGAAAATGTCCATATTCGCTACTCTTTAGCAGCCTAAGGAGTTGATTATCTAATTACTTTTAATCAGGCTACATCTTTTGTCGCTGGATGAACCACAAGTTGGCTGTTCTTGGATCTACCATCAATTTTTTGCATAACTAAGTGACGAAAAATATACAGAGGAAACTTAATTCCTTTCATGAGTAAGGAGCTCAGCACAAAGACAAACCAATTAGAGAGGGTGGAGGCAAAAGCCAGAGACTCATGTGTCCAGCTGTTACTACCTTCTGCACGCTTGAAGTTAAACATCAAACAGAAAGCAATTGAAGTAAAAATATATATGATATTATGTTAGTATGAAATTATAAGGTTATTATATATTTTA